CCCCCCCCCCCGTGTGGCCGCTCCTTAATACGGAACCTGTGTCCAGCGCTCTCGCTCCCTAAACCCCTGCTCTCCCTCTCAGACCTGTGCTTCTGCCTCGGTTCTCTTGCGCAGGTTTCTCCCCCTCTGCCCAGGATTCTTCTCTGCTGTGGGTAATTCGGGATTACTTCTTCCGGTAATCCTTGCCCATCTCCTAAGAAAATACAGATCCCTCCTTCCTGCCAAATACTCTCACGATAACAGGTAACCAACATACAGAGAGCACTGCTGTTAGGAGCTCTTCTAAGTATTCTGCGTAGAACTCATTTAGCCCTCAGGACAACCCTAGGAGGTCAAAATCGTAATGATCTCTATTTTACCGATAAAGAGACTGAAGCACAAAGTTCTGTAATTTGCCCAAGGTCACTCAGTAACAAGCATGGGCAAAAGCTCAGTGGTAAAGCCCTTGCCTGGCACGCTTCAGACCCTGGGTTTGATCCCCAACATCATCATTTTTTTTAATTTAAAAAAGGTGTGATAGCGCATGTCTGTAATCCCAGCACTCCAGAGGCTGAAGCAGGAGGCTCACAGTGAGTTTGAGGCCAGCCCGGCTACACAGTGATTTCAAGGCTAGCCTGAACTACATAACAAGACCCTGTCTCAAAATTAATTCATTAACTCATTTTTAAAGAGGCAACGCCAGAATTTGAACCAGGCATGTGGCCTAGAGTAGCTTTCAAACACTACACCACATTCCATGAGAAAATGCTGTCCTTTTCCCTCCTGCACTTACCCCTGTGGGATAGTTAATCCGGATTGTCAGTTTGACTGGCTTGGGAGCCAGTCAGGGGGTTAATAAAGCACACTTCTCAGTGTGTCAGAAGGTCGCACTTGGGTCATGGAGGTGTGACTTTGGATTCTTCGCCTGGTCCTTCGCCCCTTCCCCTCGGGCACTATTCCCACCCTCCATGAACTAAGCAGCTCCGCCCTGCCACACCCTTCTGAGGCAGGAAGGCAGGGTGTGGCAGAGCCGGTTGGGGGAGTAAGAACGACCAGATTCCACAGGCACCAGATAATTCCTAAGAACCCATGTATGAGTTCTCACAGATTCCCACAATGTGTGAAAGAAGTAGAGATGAGGCACCACTGAGAGCTTGCTACCATGGCTTTCCTCACAAGGGTATCCTGCCCTATGTCCCCTAGGGTGTACTTGTATCTTCGTTAACAATTTTTCTTCTCTTTTGCTCAGCCCAAGTTCTGCAGAGCTAGCTTCTCCTTTACCCTTCACTTTTAATTTTTCAAATGAACTCTGTCACTTTTTTTGTTTGTTTCGCTCAGTTCTTTGTTCAAGATGGAAAGAACCTGGAAACTGAGATGCCAGCACCCCCAAACCCAATAATATTTATTTGGCTTAGCCAGCCAGGAGACTAGGTGAGGCCCCACACTGGGCACACTTTTTGATGCTCTCTAAAATGTCATGAGGGCTTTTTTCTTCTTTCCCTCCTTCTCTTTCCTAAGCTGGGAATCTGTGAGGCTTTTTCGCCAGGAAGGGTTACGAGTCCCCCTTAGTGAAATGGGGACGACAGTATGTGGACTTTGTGGGGGTTTTCCAGCCACTATAGACCTAAATTTACTTCCCCTTTCCTTTTTTCTCACGTGCAGCATTCTGTAGGTATAAGTTAACTAGCCAGAGAGCTTGTGGTGCTCTGTACGCAACCTAGGGCTTGGGATACCTTGTTGGCTGTGCCTTTGTTTCTCGTATTTTGCTATCCTTCTTGGAAATCAGCCTGGTTTCTATTTATCCCAGTTTGTAAATGGCTTCTTTCCCCTTGGTTTGCTGTTTTGGTCCCGGGGTACCTTGTCATGTGTCTGGCTGCCATCTCGTCTTGTCTCTCTGCTAGATGTCATCTTGCATCAACCCCACCATCCCTTTTTCTTTTTTTTTTTTTTTTTAACCAACTGGCCTAATGAAACTTCACCCTTGCGGATTCAAACTAAACCTCTGATTTTAGAGAATGTGTGGGCTTAAGGAGAACAAGAGGGAAGAGCCTCTTCCTTTTTAAAAATTATTTTAACTGGCACAATATTTTCTTGCACAGAAGAGAAAAATTTGTCTGCTTTTAAAACTTTTTGCAGCTCTTTTGCAGTGGCAGCAACAGGAGGAGCATGGTTCATGGCACCAAACAGCCGGCCAACAAGGCCTGTTCCTGACAGGCGGTGTGACAGTCTAACGGCACAGACTTACACCTGTGCAAGGCCTCCTGGGTATCCTCCTGTCACTTGGGCCTGGGTGGCCTGTTCCCAGGCATTGGGTGCACAGAGCAGCCAGGCTGGGAGTACAGTTGCCATCACTGGTGCAGTGCCACAGCTCAGAGGCCTGAGAAAAGGACTAACAAGCTGAAGCTGCCCACAGGCTCACCTTTGTGCCCAGCCTGGCCACACATCCTGTGCTGGGGGCAGCCTTTGACCGGAAACAGCCAGTCCAGCTCTAGTGACCTGGCTATCTCTGGGTCTGAGAGCCCAGCCAGAGCTATTTGATTCCTGGCTATGTCCCTTCTTCATTTAAATGCAGGTAATTAAAAATATATATGCCTGATGGCCTGAATGGAACAAGTGAACAGGGTTTAAAACCTAACTAAAGTGACTGTGGGTGGACAAGAGCAGAGCCACCCCTGTTCTTAGAGCCTTAAGTACCAAAGTACCAAAGTCTTTTTACTATCAGAGTAAGTGCAAGAGATGTTTCCCATATGGCGCCATTCTGCTTAAGTAAAGAACCACTGAGTGGCTCAGCTAGGTGGCTAAGGGAACTTTGAGGGGGCGGTTCCACCCTTACCTCATGGGAGTCATAGGTAAGACCAGCGGGGGACTAAACCCTCTTCCCTCTAGTGAGTTAATGGGCCCCAACATAGGGACAGAAAAGCCCTCAGTGGAGCTCTCTTCTGTGCTTCTGTGAATGATGCCAGCATGACTGTAAGGTTCAGACAGAGATGTCTGTCTAGTCATTGTTAGAGTCTCACAAAGAATGCTTTGTGGGCTCACACTGGTTCTCCTCGTCCTGCATGGGACACCATCTTAAGAAGCCAAGACCTAATTGTCTCCCCCTCTCTTTAGATGTAAAGACAAGAAAATGGGAAATTTATGGACCACACCATACCGATTTGTCCTACTTCACCACTGGGCTGTAACCTTGATAAATGGGAAAAGTTTGATCTTGATTATTTAAAGCAGGAACAGCTTTATCTTTCTATTGCAATATGGTTTGGGTTCAGTATGAATTGGGAAATGGGGAGAGATGGGTGTGAAATGGTACTTTAAATTATTAGACCATTCTTCAGTTATAGAGTTTCTGCTTAAAACATAAGAAAGACATGGAATGAAATGCTTCATGTTGAGGCTTTTGTGACTCTTTATCAAAGGGAATGCTCAGAAACTATGGTATACTTACAGTGGCCCCAAGAAAGAGGATAGCCATCCCGGAACTTCCACCTTTCTCTCAGGGATGTGGGTCTCTCTGATCTGCTTGATAATACTGGAAGGTCTCTGCCACTTCTTTCTTATAATCTCCAGGTCAATAGATCAGGTCTCTTTCTGCAGTGCAGATATCCAGCAGTGCAATGAATGAGTGAGCCAACTATCAGAGGACCCTGGTAAGCTTGCAGATGGGTTTCGGACTTTAACTCTTGCTTTTGACTTATCGTAACAAGATATTCAGTTCATCTTGGGTCCTTGCTGTACCCCAGGTGAAAGACAAAGAATCCTACATGAGGCTTAGGATTATGCAGGTGAGCAATACGTTTTAGAAAAGGAAAGAGACCACCCTGAAGTGGCTACTTTCCCTTCAACATAGCCAACCTGGGACTATAATACTAGTCATGGACTCAAAATGATGTCTGACATGTTAGGTTCTCTCACTATGGGGATAAAAAGGTACATTAAAAAGTCTGCTAAGGGCCGGGGATTTAGTTCAGTGGTTCTGCCACCTACCTTGCAGGTATAAAGTCCTGAGTTCATTCCCTAGTACAAAAAAAACAAACAAAAAAGCATCATTTGTCCAGTTGCTGGACATGGACTTTTCTTTGTTCGATAATCAGAACTCAGAAGAAAGACAAAACAAAAAAGATAAAATTATAGCTAGCATAATTGGCACCCAGGTCATCTAAAGCAAAACCCAAGGGCAACCAGGGAAAGGGTTCCTGTTTAAGTGCAAGAGGCGTGGTCACTGGGGACATGATTGCATGATGCCTCCCCGTGGGCCTTGCTCCATATGGGGGGCTGCTAGTGTTCCTGACTTGTGGCATTGGAAGTTTGACTGTCCCCACTACCAGACAGGGGTTAGGCCAGCCAAAACTTTCATGTCCTACTCGAATGACTGACAATGCCCAAGGGAACCTGCATGCCCCGTCCACAGACACCCCCATCTCGCCTGAGGAACCCTGAGTGATCTTGAACATCATGGGTGAGCCACTCCAGCTGCTTAGCGACACAGGGGCAGCTCATACTGCTTTGATTTCCTTCCCTAGAAAAGTCTCCCCGACATCTGTAGCCATAGAAGGGGTCCCTAATCAGATTCTTTACTCCTCCTTTGATGTGTCACTTTGAAGGTCAGATGTTTAACCATGAGTTTCTAGTTGTCCCACAGTGTCCCAGTCCCTAGCTGGGAAGAGATCGACTAGCAACATTGGGGACAATTCTCAAATTCCAGCTAAGGCCAAAATAGATTTTACTTGTCAGGACTACACCAGGTTTCCCTAACCAAATTAGCCAGCAGGTGGATCCTGCTGCATGGTATAATGGAATACCTGGTAGGGCAAATTCAGTTGTGCCATTTGTTATAAGACAAACACCCTAGCCAATTTCTGGCTTTTGTAAGATCTGGCTACCTAAGTTCGGACTAACAGCAAAGCTTTTATATGAGGCTATCAAAGGCCCTGGGTCTGTGTCCCAGAATAGACAAAAGTGACCTATAATGCCTTTAGGAAAACAAAACACGTTCTTACTCAAGTTCCAGCACTGGGAATACCTGACTTAAGAAAATCCTTCTTTCTTATCCAGCCATGGTGGCACATGCCTGTAATCCAAGCATTTGAGAGGCTGAGGATTGCAGTTAGTTTGAGGCCAGCCTGGGCTACATAGTGAGTTCAAGGACAACCTGAACTATATAGCAAGATCTTGTCTCCAAATAAATAAATAACTCCAAAAAACAAATCAATAATAACAATAAAAATAAAATGCTTCTTTCTCAAAGAGAGGAATTGCTTTGAGAGTCTTGATCCAAGAAACCCACCCATTGGCATACTTTTCAAAAAGATGGAGTGGCTGCTGGGTGGCCTCCTTGCCTGAAAGCACTAGCAGCTACAGCTATACCCAAAAGAGGAAAAGTTAACTTTGGGACAGAGGGTGGAATTCCTAACTCCCCTTGAGGTCAGAGCTATTCTGGAGAAAAAGATTACTTATGGGTCACAGAGGAACAGCTTACCATGCTCTTAGATACCTCTGAGGTTATTATAAAAACTTGCACTACTCTTAATCCTGCTTCTTTGATGCCTATAGGCCCAGAAGTTAGCCGCTGTTGTGAATAAGTGATCTCCCAGACCTATGCAAACAGGCAGGACATCAGTGACCTGCCTGCCCCTCCAAGGCTCTGAGGAGGTATGGTTCAATGATAGAAGTAGCTTTGTCCAAGAAGGATATTGGAAGGCAGGTTCACAAGAGGTCACTGAAGCTAAACCTCCTCCCCCAGGAACCTCTGCTCAAAAGGCAGAGCTAATAGCTCTTACTCAGGCATTGATATTAGAAGAAAAAAAAAATATATATATATATATATAAATTCTACAACTTCTAGAGGCAGTCCATCTTCCTAAGAAGGTCATAGTCATGCACTGTAAAGGGGCCTAAAGAGACATGTTTGAACTCTTCTTGGGAAATCAAAAGGCTGACATGAAGGCAAGAAGGACATCCCTATACACCCTCAAGGCCCTAGCCTCATTCCCAGTTCCTGAGGAACCATTCTGGTCCTTCCTCAAGGGACACAGTGACAAGCTATAAAAATCCTACATGAGAAATAGTCTTCAATCTTCTGGAAAGATACAAAGAGCCAACCAGACCCTAAAGTGACCTCTGGGAAAACTTTACCAAGAGACCTCTGAGTCCTGACTCTAACTGCTATCCTTACCACACCCACAGCAGTACAGTGGCAGACATAGATAATTGGTTTCACCGTTGTGTAACAGAACCAGTTTAACCTGAACTGTCTGAAGAACAAGACTACCTGAAAGGAAATAGGTACTCCTGTGAGCCTCTGGAAGACTTGAGATTTCGCTTCAAAAAGGAAAACTCCAATGCTGCTGGAGATAAGCAGACAGGATCTCGGTAAGGCCATGACTCTCAGACTCTTTTTTTTTTTTCCACTTTAAAAACATTTTATCAGTACATTTTAGATATACATAGTAACGTTCATCACAGGGAATTTGTACCTGTACATGATATACCTTGCTTCTCTCTCTCTTTTTTTTTTTTTTTTTTTTCCTGGTACCAGGGATCAGACTCAGGACCTTGTGCTCATGAGACAGGCACGGTGCCACTGAGCTAAATCCCCAACCCTTTTTGCTTCTTTTTTATTCCCATTCCCCTCCCCCTTTCAGCCCCTCTTTCCCTCCTTATTTACAAAATATTTTGTTTCCATTTTTTCCTTTTATTCTCTGTTTTTCTTCTCCCTTCTTTCCTTTCACTCTCTTGGTGAGTTTATTTGTGTAAAGGAATGCTATTGATTTTTGAGTGTTGACTTTGTATCTAGCTATGATTCTGAATTTGGTTATTAATACAGAAATCTTTTGGTGGAGTTTGGGGGTCTTTTATCTATAGTATCATGTCATACACAAACAATGATGATTTAACTTCTTGCTTTCCTGTCCTTACTCCTTTTCTTTCTTTCCCTTGTCTGATTGCTCTGGCTAATGTTTCCAGAACTATATTGAATAAGAATGATGGGCTGGGTATGTAGCTGACTGGCACCATGCCTGCCTGGCAAATTTAAAGTCCTGAGTTCAATCCCTGGTACAAAAAAAAAAAAAAAAGTGGGGGGACAGTGAATATCTTTATCTTGTTTCTGGTTTTAGAGTGAAAGATTTCAGTTTTTGTCCATTTAGTATAACACTGACTGTTGATTTGTCATAGATGGCTTTTATCAAATTCGGATGTTCTGTAGAGTTTTTAACCATCCTGCTGGCATCATTCACAGAAGCCCAGGAGAAAGCGCCACTGAGGGCTTTTTTGTCCCTACATTGGAGCCCATTAACTCACTAGAGGGAAGAGGGTTTAGTCCCCTGCTGGCCTTACCTATGACTCCCATGAGATAAGGGTGGAACTCCCCCCACCCCCGCAAAGTTCCCTTAGCCACCTAGTTGAGCTCAGTGTTTCTTTACTTAAGCAGAATGGTGCCATACTGGAAATATATCTCTTGCATTTACTCTGATAGTAAAAAGACTTTGGTACTTTGTTTAAGGCAGTAACAACAGGGATGGCTCTGCTTTTGTTCACTCACAGTCACTTTAGTTAGGTTTTAAACACTGTTCACTTGTTCCGTTCAGGCCATCAGGCATATATTTTTTGATCATCAGATCCTCCACAGGTCCATGAAGTTAAGAGCAGCTGCATCAGTATTCTCCAGCTAGCTCATCCTCTCAATGCCAACCTCCCCTCAGCAAATATGACCGTCTCACATCCAATTTTTTTTCTACAGATTCATCTCTGTGTTTTGGTCATAGCCATCTTTTAAAAGCATAGGGTGAAGGGAGGGCAGGGACAAGGGGAAAAATGAGAATCAAGACCTATTATGTAAAGGTACAGAATCCCAATGATGAATGTACTTGTATTGTATACCTAGATTGTACCAATAACCTCAATAAAAAGAAAAAAAAAAAAAAAAGCATAAATCCAGGTCACCCTCCTGCCCAAAACCATTCTGCATCATTGTAATGTCTTTGGAGCAAAGTCCAAACTCTACTGGGCTGAAGAGGGTGTTCTAGTCTGTCTGTTTCTGCATCAACAGATGTCTTCATGAGGCTCCTTTGTCTTTCCAAATCCATCACCTAGCAGCACAGGGCTTTCGGGCTTCCCAGATTATACCAGGGTAGTTTCTCCTGTCCTGACTCATGCACCACCCCCTCCCTGTTGCACCAGCCCTCTCCTCTGCGTCTAGAAACGCCTACTCAGAAGTCTTTTTAGGGCTAGGTGCCCTTCCTCTCCGCTTCTATGGGCTGTGCTGTCCCCAACAACGACAACATCAGACATTGACCTATAGTTGCTTGGTTACTGAATGCGTCTCCTGCCCTCCCAGTTTGAAGGCAATCTCCACGACTTATTCATCTTTTTTTGCCCCTACCCTAGCCGACTCTAGCTCAAGGTAGGATGCTTAGTAGGGATTTGTTCCGTGCGTGAACAAATCAATAAACGAATGACAACTCATGCCTGGTTCATGGGTCCTAAAAAAATTGCGAAATGGTAGCACCCGCCTGTAATCCCAGTGCTCAGGAAGATGAGCAGGTTCAAGCCCAGCCTGGGCAATTCAGAGACCTAGGTAGACCCTGTTTTAAAATAAAAAACAGGAAAAGGTCTAGGGATGTAGCTCAGGGCAAAGATCCTGGGTTCAACCCCCAGTACCAAGACAAACAAAACAAAACTGTGAAATGAATAAATGAGTAAAAAACTGGAAGTTCGGATCCAACGAGCGATGTAGCGTAGAAGAGATTAGGGAGTCTCGAGATAAGTAAAACGGATCGCGTTCACCCTTCAATGGACTAACATGGAAGACAAATGTCAGCAAGCCGAAAGCCTGACGGATTAGCAGGAAGTCGTTCCTACACTGGCAGGCCCCCGGGGCGGGCCTAAATCTGGACACGCCCTCTAGCCAATAGGAAGGCTTGTTGGCTTCCGAGTCTCCACCCCGCCGCTTCAAGGAGCGAGACTACACTTCCCGGCGTGCCTCACGGCTGGGACAAACGAGCAACCGGAAGTGGGGCGGGCAGGGTCTAAGGGCACGAGGGAAGTGGCGGGCGGGACAGAGGGGGGCTTTCAGGTGAGCCGGAAGGCCGAGGGTCGCGGGCATGGCAGAGGCCAGGAAGCG